CCAATTGAATCACAAGGGGGTGTAGATAGCAGTATTTCTTTAAATAAACTCCACAGGTGGTTCTCCTGGGCTGCCAAGACTAGGAACCATTGATACAGAATATATGTATTTGCACTGCCTGATACCACAGTCACTGGCTACAAGTGGCCACGGAGCACTTGAAATGTGACTAGTCTGAACTGTCTGGTAACGGCAAAATACACACCGGATTTCAAAGATTTAGTACCGAAAACAAAAAAATCGGAAAGCTTCTCATCAGCATTTTTATACTGATTATATGTTGAAAGGATAATGTTTCAGATATATTGGGTTAATAGTGTGGTGAAGGCCTGGGAGGGGGTGGGAGTGGGGTGGAGAGGGTCACGGTGGGGGAAAGGGGAGGACACCTGTAATACTTTCAACAATAAAGATGAATTTAAAAATAATTCACTTCCCCTGTTTCTTTTCACCTTTCTAACTGGCTACTAGAACATTTAAAGTTACACGTGCAGCTCACCTCTGTGTTTCCCACTACTGAACTATGCTGGTCAAGAACAATACACTCTCGCCCTGGCCGGTTCGGCCCAGCGGTTAGAGCGTCGGCCTGCGGTCCAGAGAGACCCGGGTTCAGTTCCAGCTAAGGGCACGTACCTCAGTTGCAGTTTGTCCCCAGCCCTGGTCGGTTATGCGGGTGGCAGCCACTCGATGTGTCCCTTTCATATAGATGTCTCTCTCTGTCTCTCTCTCTCTCTCTCTCTCTCTCCCTCCCTCCCTCCCTCCCACTCTATCTGAACAAAAAAAAAAAAAGAACAATACACTCTCATTGCAAATTAAGAAACCGAGGCAGGGAAACATAATGAGTTCAAGGCAGCACTTTGGGGATCCCCTCTTCCAGTCTGTTACCATAAACCACTTTGTTGCAGAGTCCCTGACGCCATCAATCGGATTTTGAACCTTTCTTTTGTCTTGCTGTTTCTTCTGTGATTTTATATTAAAATCCATCTCTCATGTGGAAAACTGCCTCCTCTCTCTTGTGCGCATACTTGTGATTTGTTATTGTAGGATTACCCATGAAAGCAAAGTAATGAGGATGGATGTTCAAAAATCAATCTAGAAAAACATTAACATAAAGAAAATGCAGAGAATGGATGGAAAGGATTAGTAAGGCTTTTAAGATGTAGATGGTCAAGTTCTAGCCTGGGAATGTTTTACCATGTTTACCAGGCTTAATCAGTAACCCTGGAGACCCTCAGCTACCTAAGCGCCAGCTTCAGAACAGTACCAGTGTCTGCTCAGAATTTAGAAACTTGAACCTATAATATTGTCTTTCCTCCCAGAAGGGCTGGTTTTCTGGACAATGTTGTCATTACAGTGAGGTGAATCAAGTTGTTTGTAATGGCACATCATGTCATACCTAGGTGCCCTGGTGGGAATGGATGTTATCCTCAATACCTTCCACCCTCTGGTGAATGGATTAGTATCTGGTCATTCAAAAACCAAACAGCATCATCACTTACTTCAAGCAGAAAATCTTGTTTTGATAACGTGAAATGGTCCTACCAGATCTGGCAAATGAAGATAAAATGTATTTCTGCTAGTAACCAGCTAATTCAAAAGAAAAACAAAGATGTTTTTTGTTGCATGTGGTTTTCCCCCCTTGGGAAGCCAGCAGAGAATGAATTGCATAAAACTAGCTGAAATGTGTTATATTTGAGAAATCATGCAACACAGAGCTCTTCAGTGCAATAAAAGAAGAAAAGAGACCTGAATTCTGATATAAAGCCTTCATGCAAAGAGCTGGAAAGGAAAACCAGGGCCCAGGCCAAACCACACATACAGTAGATGTATTCAAGATTTCTATTGAGATATTCTTGTTCCCCATCCTAAATACTGCATAACCTAAATGTCATCTTAAATCACATGTTTGGTCCTCTGGAGCCCCCTATGTCGCATGCATGATTTCTATTAGCTATGATTAGTCAAGTTTTGCCAGTCAAACCACAAAGAGCATACTTCCAGACTCAACTCACTTCTTATGTAGTAATATTCACCTCGAAACCCTCTCATTCCTATACACCAACCTGGAAAGATAATAAGTTACAGATGGATCCTGGGCAAAGCGACATCTGCCAGAGTGAAAACACTTGTTGCCCTATTCAACTAAAAGATTATTGATTTGAACTTGAAATAATTTTTCGGATCTCTTCCTCAAAGATGGTCAAGACAAGACAAGAAGTAAAGGAAGTTACGGCCTTATTCTGAAACGGTCTTTTAGAGCATTTTTAGGTCTGTCTGGTTTTCAGTCTCAAATGAAATCTGGATGGTACAGTTTTACAGAGCATGTCTAGTAACAATGGTAAAGAAGAAGAATGACCTTCAAATAAAGAGGCAGAGATTAGAAAATGTAACATCACGGATATATAAGAAAAAAAAAAAAACAGAATAGAAACTACAGTTTATATGGTTAGGGCATTCATTCAAAAGATCTGATAAAAATAATTATCTTTGAAAGGTTAGTGATCAAAGGCTAGAAAAGAGCAGGCGTCCAAAGCCATGGGGTGTGTTTCATCCATGACAAGGGCATTTATGGTGGCTTGGCTCCTGGGAAGAACACTTGACAGACCTGGAGGCAGAGACTGGGTTTCTAGGCTCTGTTTTGCACTCTAGTTCTGGGCTTTGGTGAGCCAGGGACCACCGCCAGGCCTTAGGTTCTATTCCTCACAAGTGGAGAGGTTGGTGTGTGAGTAAGAAGAATTCCCCCAGCTCCAGCTCGACATAAGCTGAAAGCCTTTCTGTCTCACCATCAGAATCCCCAGGTGAAAGGGACTCTAACTCTAAAATTAGTTCAAGCCAAACACCAACATGGCCGTTTTCAGTCGTTTCAGGGTAGAGATGAGAAATGTAAACCTTGAGGAAATAGAAGGAAGCAATGAAAATATGTATTTTTAAAGTATCGAATGGATTTTGATCTATTTCTCAGAAAAGATAATTGGGCAATAGAGTGAACATGAAGGAAAGCAATATGGAAATGTCAACATAATATCTTGTGCATCCGGGAGTTTATCCTAAACATTGTATGTTTTCATGTGAAAAATCTAGAGTCTCAATAGAGCTTCAGTTTCTGGAGCAGTGTTATCATAACCTAGAAACTTGTAAAAGTGCTGTCTCTCTCTCTCTCTCTTTCTCTCTCTAGTTAAATCCATGATTTGTGATTACCAACAATGAAATACTAATGGATCCTCAAAAAAAAACCTCTAATTGCCCCTTTTTTTCCTAATAACAAAATGTAAGAACTCTTTAGTGGAAACATTAAATGTGATGTCATTTTTAAAGTGCCAGGGTTTCTTTTTAAAGCAGTGCTACAAAATAGATAGCTTATTTAGTTTACAAATGGCAACACAAAAAGGTTCCTCAAGTCTGCTTAGCATATCAGAAAGTGCCTCTTTCTCACAATTAAATATTTCAGGCTATTGCCGGCCCCAGTTTATTACCTTATCTCAGTTGTATAATTTTCTCAAATAGGATTCAGAGAAATAGTTCTAGATTTAAAATTTTAAACACTAATTTATAAAAGCATTGGTTGATTCCCATAATACAGCTGGTAGTCAAACTGGACAAGATAATGAATTGACTGAGATCATTGTTCCATCTTCATCCAAGAAAGCTGCCTCTAAAAAAAGATCTTAAATTGCTGTAGAAATCCAATTTGTAAGAAGCAAAAGAAGCATATAGATGGGAAACACCAGCAGGATTGCATTAATTTTGTGACTAACGGCAATGCTTTGAAGTGAAGAAGAAAAAAAAAGAAAGAATGACAAAAATAATAAGTCCACTCACATCCCCAATTTTAATCTAACAACACAACCAGAAGAAAACCAACTATAAATACAAAATTCACATCTTGGGGGATCCAGCATCACCCCCACAGACACAAAATAATTTGCAGCTTAATAAGAAGCAAATTCCAATGCTAAGAAAATACTGTAGAACAGTGATCCATCGTTGCTAAAAAAGTAAATTATAGGAAGAAATCAAGAGACCAGGAACTTGACGTCAGTACAAATAGCCATGGAAAGTCCATGATTGATTGGATTTGAGCCTGCGGTATGGAACACTGACAAGTAGTTGTCATAAAAATCTTCAACTTACTGTAATTGAAAAGCTATAAAGGAAAAGTCTCTGGATAAACTACCATTCATTTAACCACCTATTCAAATAAAAGCTGCAACACCACAGAGATATAGAAGTAAAGGCACAGTTTCCTTTATTTGGTGGGAATGTTCTAATAAACCATCTGCTCACATATAGAATATATGAGATCACAACTGACTTCTAATTTACAGGCAATTTACGAATATCAGCAATTTACATTTAAAAACAGTCCACTTGAAGACACTATCAATTGAGCAAATGTGTTGACTCTGAATAAAGTTGAAAAATAAAAATCACTATGAATCAGTCAGGATTGAAAAATAACAGATCTAGTTAAAGTGCTACAAGCAAAGGAAAATGGCAAAGCTTACAGGGAGACACAGGTGAGTTCTTTCACTGTTTTCTCCTTAAGTTTTAAAACTACAGTAACAGCTGACATCTCATTGCTAGTACCCCTCCTCAGTGGAATACACATCTAGGTTGGAATGTGGAGAATGTTTTTTGTTTGTTTGTTTTATTTTTAATTTTTAGGTTTATATATTAAGAATTCCTTTCTCATTAAAACTTAACTACTTATTGTAGTGATTCATAAATGTTCATGGAATAAGGGAATTTTTACCTGACACATAAACATTCTTTTACCCAGAAAATAATGGTCTTATTCACACACACACACACACACACACACACACACCCTTCCACACAAAATGCTACCAAGTCCCAGGAAATTGACAAAAGCAATATTAAAATTCAGTGCAAAATACGAATCCCATTTCTGAATTCCATCTATGAAAATATAAGATTGGCCTCATTGAACCAAACTGCAAAGTTCCCTCTCTGCTCAGTAAGCGTAATAAACATCATCTTACCATTATCTGTCGAATAAAGTCAGCAACGTGTTGCTTCCTGCAGTCACCAGATCAAGTTTTTTTCTTCCTTTCTTTCTAGTAACTTCTTTTTCACCAGCAAGATTAGGAAGAAGACAAGTCTAAGTAGGTGCCTCAGTATTTCAGACACAAGATTGTGAAACTAGCCTTTAGTAAAAAAGAACAGGTCTGGTATTTTACAATCACTTCTGCAACTCAGAGGTACCTCCTGGTCTCCCGTACCTCTTTTCCTCCCTCGTTCTCTACGTTTCTTTTAGTAATGAGACTAATTTTTCCAGTAGCCTTGAACTCCCTAGATTTAACTGACATGGAAAATGTGACTAAAAACTTGTAGAACTGTCTAGCCTCCAACCCTACACAGAATCAACTTTGTTGTAAGTGTTGAAGAACACCTCGCAAGCAGCTACTTGCTCGCTTAGACGCCTGAGCTGCACAGCACAGACCGCCAAATAACAGTGCGCCATCTAGTTAGCAAGCTGCATGCTCCATCCTAGAAGGGGGGACACCTTCAAACCCTGGGAGTTAAGAACTTGTCAGGGTTCAGCTGCTCTAAAGGTCCAATTGTTTATTTAAATTAAAAAGAAATATCGCTACTGAGATAATCCACATCTTGAGGATATGGGAAAATTTAGATTATAATGGCACTACAAACTTTTACATCTAACTTTGATTTACAAGATAAAAGCAAGTTTTAAATTAAAAGGGCTTTCTGTTAATAGAGCTTATTATTCTGAAGACGGGAATGATTTTCTTCGAAAGTTGTCCCTGGGTGCATGCCTATTATCTTTGCCTTTCCCCTTCCACTAATGAGCATTTATCTAAAGAGCCTGTTAATCCTCAGATGTGTGCTTCTGGTCAGAGGTAACAGTTTGAATAAAACCACTAATCACTGATCACTAAATCACTGATCATTAATCACACTCTTCAGTGTCCCTGACCCTGGCCATTTTTTCCTTTAGGTCTATGCATAACAAACAAGAAGTTTAACAGTTCAGATGCATATGAGGGTTATGCTATTTCATCTCTAGATGGGAATAAATAATAAATACTGCCGCAAACTTGGGGAAGGATTGTCAATTAAACCCCAGACAGGAGTTTCACAAATGCCTACTCTACAGAATGGCTTTCACTTTGAAGACAGTTGATCTGATTATAACAAAACATGTGTCCTTCAAGAAATTCCCACATACTCAGAATATACATTTTCTTTTATTTCGCTTTCGCCCACTCCAAATCAGAGAGCACCCAAATCCTCTGCCCTTCCATCCAAAACCCTGCAATTTTTTATTTGATTTCTACTGCACACAAGTTTTTACTTTTATCCATTAAGTATGACACACACAGTTGTTTTTATTTCAACTGGCAGATTCACAGTTCTGACTCAACTCAATAACTTAGCTATTTAACTTCCTCCTTAAATATAGAAATTTAAGGTTAAGAGAAAATAACCCACAGCAATTCATTATAGGGTACTTTGGGTTCAAGGACTCCCATTCCCTCGCTTTGGAAATTAAAGATTTAATCTTGGTCCTTTCAGCTAAATTTGTAGTCAGCATCCTCACTTCCTCTTCCCCTAAGCAGTTGGATAAAGGCACTATGTAAAATTAAGTACCTTGTTTGCGATGGGTGTGCTGTTTTCTTAAGTCACTACAGGGACACACAGTATTATCGAAGCGTCTCTAAACATTTCCTGCGATGCTTTTTCTACCAGGACTGAGCATTCTCGCCCTGGAGAAGAGGGCTCGCTGGTGCCTTTCTTAAATAATAGAACAGGGCAGATTGTGCCTGCGCTGATCAGGTACCCTGCTCAGACACCAGAAGCTCTTACCCACACTCCAGGGACAGTGATGGCCCCAGGGAAAACTGTAAAAGGCGGAGGCGGGGCCAGAGTGGTAACGGTGTGGGCGGGAGAGAGGGTGGGGAAGGAGGGGTCCTGGAAGAGAGGGCAATAAAGATACCCAGGGAACTGGCGATTGTACAAGTATGTTGGGGGCTGGGGGTGGAAAGCAGAGTTGCTTTGTCAGCATTTCTAAGCCCCCGAACCCTTGAATATCTGAAGCTGTTAATCAAACACTTACTGGCCTGCAGAATGACGTAATGGACCTGCATCCAGCCTTTATTCCTTGACACATGTCAGAGAGGGAGGGAAAAATAAAAATCAAACACACTCTGCGGACTCTGACAAAATATACAAGCAGCCCACTCCAGTCTCTGGCCTTGAACAAGCATCAAGTGGGGGCGGCACCCATTCAGGGAAAGTTGGGGAGGGGGTGGACAACTTCTGGGCTTTATCCAGCTGATTACCCGTCTCAGCCCTCCCCCAACTCCCCCCAACAAATCTTTGGCAAAGAAGAAGCTGGATGCAGCTGCAGGGAGAAAACATCTCCTTGGTTCCTCCACACGTCTTGCCCCTCTAAGAACTTCGTGAAAAGTTTAAGCGGTTCCTTGGAGAATACGCCGCAGAGGTTCCGCCGCCAGGAACTGCCACCGCGCCGCCACGGCAAAAGCAGCAGCTGTCATTTGGGGCAGCGGCGGAGAAGAGGTAATGATGCCAGCGAGCACGGGACGGAGGGAGGCAGGAGGCGGCTGGAGGAGTGAACGCAAGCACAGCCTCGCCACTCTTGAGCCTTCCGCGCCTGGAGCAAAAGCCAAGTGCCCTCCAAGAGCAACGTCCCCTCCCGGGGCGCGCGCCCACCAGCTGCGGGGGCAGCCCTGTGGGAGAGGTGGCAGCAGCAGGCTCAGCACCCGGGAGAGAGTGAGCCCCCGCGCACCCGCCTGTCCTCCCGCTAGGTGACCCGGCGTCCTCGCCGCGCCCGCTGGAAGTTTGCAAACTTTCTCCGGGGGTTCCGCCGCATCACCGGGAGGTTGGGGACGCGGGGGAAGGTTCCTGGCTCGCCGTCTCCGCTGCCGCCGCCGCTGCCACCGCTTGACCGCACTTCTGGAGGGTTCCGCACCTTGCCAGGTCTCTGGAGGCAAACACACACCCCCGATTCATAACTGTTTCCCGTGTCAGGGAAACACACGCGCGCTCCCACACACGCACGCACGCCGGACGGACAGAGCGCTCACTCCACGTTAGCATCCCTCTGGTCGCACGGCGCCGCGGCCACCGAGACGCGCTCCGGGATGGACACGGCGTGGGGTCTCTCGGGTGGCCTCAGGACACAGCAGAATTCCATAGTCCACCAGCATTTGGGGCCGGATATCCCTCTGGTCCGCCAAAGTGTTTACAAACACAGATCACCCTCCAAAAATGCATCACATCTTCCCTACTCCTTGCCCTGTGACCTGCCCGCTGGACCAAGTAACCTCGCGGCTACTGCCGAGAACTAACCCCTGCAAACAAGTACGCTCCCGAGATGACTCCCTCGGCAAGTGCAACAAAAGTGTCTAAATGCGAAAGCCCCAGAAGTGGCCCAGCCGTATTTTTAGGAACTTACCAAACAAGTGTGGAGAAGGCAAGAGCAGAGCCCGGGTGAAGGGACCACGTTGGACTGAGCAAAGATTACAATACATTCTATTTAGAGTGCATTACATCACCCCCCCGGTGACGTCACGTGGGATTCCTGAACTTCTAAATCATTGCGGTCCGCGGGGGAGGGAAGGAGGGGCGGGGCCGGTGCGCAAGGGGGCGGACCCCGCCCCGGCCCCGCCCTGCCCCCCCAGCAGACCCTGGTGCACCCGCGGGAGAGCGCGGCTGCGTCGGCAGCAGTGGCGGAGACCGCGCAAGCAACAGCTTGTAGAGCCCAGCGCCGTGTGACACGGCTCCCTGACATTAGTAGTGTGAGTCAGCTTGGAAACAATCCTCAGGGTTTCAGACAGGACCACGGAGGAGGGGCGCTCCGGCGAGGAGGGCCTGGTAGCGTTTGAAAGGTGTAGGGATGGGAGTAGGTGAGAGGTCCACGCGGGTCCTGAAGGGTGCGGGAAGACTTTCCGCGAGCATAAATGCAAGGCGCTCCCCTCTTCCGTCTCCAGAAGATGTCCAGCTCCTTTTTGCCTGCGACAGTCGTGACCTGATTACAGTGTCCCCTGCATCCTGGCTTCTAGAGCGCTCGCTCAAAACTCCTTTAATCGCCCCCACCCCGCCTCACATCTAAGGGGATTGCTTTACTGTGCACACTCACGTGGAATACACAGACCCCACCCTTTCCAAGACCCCGCTTCGTGCTTCCGAGGGGCTGGAGGAAGAGTCGCTCCTGGAGGCGAAAGGTGAATCACAGCCAGAGCCAAGTGATGAGCCTGATTTAGATTCAGCGTCAGAGCCAGAAGGGCCTTTGGCGATCGCTTCCAGAGCCCAGCCTGTAACTCGCCCAAGCTCACAGGCTGGCAAGTGGCACAGCCAGAGCCAGAAGGCAGGATCGGGGCGCCTGGCTGCAGTATCCTCCTGACAACTCCCTGAGAGAAGGGGCCTGGTGTTTTCAGCGCCGGCCAGTCACCATCACCATCCCCAGCTTCATTTCCATTGAGATGTTCTCCCAGTGAGGCGGACGCCAGGAAGGCACAGGCTAGATTCCAGCGGACTCTAGACAACCGCTGTCAGCCCGCAGCAGCTCTCGCTTTGCAAAGCACTCACGCCCACTTGCACTCCCTCAGTTTGCACAACAACCCAGCACAAGAAGAAGTAGGGCAAGTGAGCCCAGGCAGATTCCAGAAGGTGAGGGGGCTGCCCAGCAAGTGGTGGCCCTGACACCACCCCAACCCCCGGTTTTTAAACCCCAGACCCCAACTGAGCTCCTTTCTGGAACTCCCTTCTGGGGGTTTGGTGGTTAGAACCTCTGCTGAGGATGTGTTGGCTGGGAACCGAAGATTTGCTTAGGAAGAGTTTAGCCCCATTAACTAACAATAATTATTCCTGGCATTTATGTAACATTTGACATTTATATAGCACCTCTCGTCCCAATGCATCATAACCGTGACGGTGCAGTTTGCCAGAGAATCATGACTGGACTGGCTAGAAACTGTAAGTCTTTGCCTGGATTGTCACATACAATCTGAGCTGGTTTTGACATAATATATGGAAGAGCTTTGTGTTTCCTTTCTGGTTTTAAGTGTTTAAACAACTCCCTTCCCTTCAGTGTTCCTTGAGACCATAGGAACCGATGACTGTTGGTTTCTCTCAGCCTTATTCAGGACTCTTCACTGAGTTTCTATTTGTTCTTTTCCACATAGAACCCTGAAGGAACTTGCAAAAGAAGGGCACCAGTCCTAACTTGAATCTTAACCAATAAAACTTTAAATATGACAGCTCAATTACCGGGTTTACGGAAGGAAGCAACAGCCCGTTGCTCGCTTTCCCACTCTGTTACCAGGACAGAACTGTCCACAGAAGGCAGGTACCTACCTCCTTCTTCCTCAGAGAAAAGTGTGAGCCGCTGGAAGAGCC